AAACATTTGTTGTACCTTTTCTTCAACCCCCGAAACGAACGACAACTGATCACACAGACACAAAATATCACTAAACCACAGTTTCTTTTCAACTTCATTGTTCATCACACATCATCCCTCCCTTTCCGTTTACCCATAATTCTCATTCACATCATTTTTGTGTTCGCACATATACTCCAGTTCGAGCTAACCACAGCATACTTACCTGGCGTAGAGGTTAACCGTGATCACGAAGGCGGTTCCTCCAGGGCGAGACTTGATCATTGCACATTCCGATTGAGTTGACCTCTGCGATTATTCCTAATGTGAATAACTCGTGCGTGTAATTTTTGGTAGCCGGGAATGGCGTACGCGCCGTCCCGACGTAATTTGAATAAATATGGAAATGTTAAATAAAATTATAAAAATATTTTTAAAAAGTAAACGCTTATTGTGAAGTTATAGAAAAATATTAAACAAAAATCCAATAGTTATGCAATTTTGGTTTCGTAGATTTCGTTCAGGAATTTTTATGTTAAAAATGCACCACGCACAGGTAGGCCGGTCGTCAAAAATGTCGATAAAATCGGAGAAATGATCGAAGTTGACCGGCATGTTAGCAGTCGTAACATCGCCCAGGAGATAAAAGTGGACACAAAAAAATTGATTTCTTTTTTCCCAAACCTAATATTTTTTAACTGTACACCTTTGATACCCTTAAAAAATATACGCTTCTAATGGACCTCTTATGAAATATATTATTTTATTCCAGACCAGGCTGTTTTTATAGCATCCTTACTGTATAAGAATAATATCACTAAAATTTAATTTTTTTACAAATTTATTATTTAAATAAATACTTAAAACAATCATTTAAATCTACTTATACTATCACGTCTTTTATAAGTCTAATAAATCATTTATTTCCCCTTCAATGTTGCAGCTACATTTGCTGCCTGTTGGGCAATGCCAATAGTTTGAATGGTAGCATCACGGGTATGTTGTCCAACACGCTCCTATAATAAATATAAACAAAAAATATTAATAACATATAGTTTTAAATTTTATGAAATTATACTTACAATTTTCTTGCCAATCTTTTTCAACCATCCGGCTTCACTCTGACCAACAAAGACAGCCAAAACAAAGGCAACAAAGACAAATAATTTATTAAAATTCATTTTGATTTTTTTATTATTAAAAATTGTTGTATGTGTGGATTGTGATTGTTCTAAAGCTTTATTCTGCTTTAAGTTCAATACGAAACTGATGTCGATCTTCGCCGCAACCTAAGCTTTTATAGTCAATCTATCTGTTGGCTACATGTTCTTCGAATGACACATTTTGTGTTTCAGTTCTCTTTTTGTTGAATAAGGAACACACCAACTGTGGGGGAATCACATTACCATATTTGTAGGGGACAACGTATTTTACCCACAAAGAAGACTTTTTTGTTTAGTGGTTTTATTGATGTCTACACAGCCTCCTTGTCGTTTAGCAACAAATGAGGAACTTTATCGGTTGATTAGCCTTGACTGTGACCTTTGTGTAGATAATTCGTTGTGAATGAAAGAAGAAATGGGAATTCCCTCGTCAAAGAAAAAAGTATTTCACTTCAAAGCTAATTTTTATTTTAGCCCAAAAGTTCAGCAATATTTAACTTGACTATACTAGGCGATCAATCTTAAAGGAATATAAGACTTTTTGAGAAAAGATACATTTCTTGTATCTAAGAAATAATTCACCAACTAAATACTCCAAAAAGCCCCAAGAGTTTGTAACGCCGTGAAATATTGGTAATATACCCGCCTTTAAGTATACCGATCGTCATATCTCGAAAACTAAGTCGATCAAGACATGTTTGTCCGTCTGTCCATTGTAATTTCTAAACACGATACAGATCATAGTTATGGACCAATCTTCACATGTAGGACCGGTTCTAGTCAATGGAGATACATATTGTTTTTGGTAAAGAAGGGAATGGGGCCAAAGTATAAGCATGTCTGTTTCGATAAAGATCGATCAATATTTTACGGGTCAAATAGAAGTTGACTTTGTGTGAAAAATTACAAAATTTGTATTCTGGGCGCACATAGACACAGACCCGAGAAGATGTTAGTATATCCAATTTGTTAACCTTTAAATTGATCTCAATGATCTTAGATACTTACAGATATCGACGTATTCAGATATTATTTGGTTGGGGAAAAATAAATCCATAATTTTTATATGAACTATAGGACTTTATTTAAAATGCTTTGGAATGTCCGATATGGGCTAAATTTGCACCGTTTTGTTGTTGTTGTTCTAGCAACTATCTACATGTTTGTTGTATTAAATTAATCTGGTTCTGACTCATCTGTTTCCAGGTTCATGAAGGTTGCAATCTGTAACGGCTGCGTCCAAAGAGATTCTGGAGACAGATGAGTGGGTTTAGCAGGGCAGTTAAAGAGATGCAGCATATCGTGAGGTCCAAAACAACATGCAGGGCATGTGTTTGGTACCGTGCTGTCAATTCGGGCCCAATACGAATTGAGGCGGCTGCACCATCCTGATCTTAGTTGGGTTAAAACCACTCTCGTTTGTCTAGGCAGCTGTCGTTCTTCTGCTGCTATAGGTGGTGGGTGGACTCCAAGTACTGCATTCACACGGTATTGGTCCATTGCCTGGGGGACTGCTTCCGTGTGAATTCTGGTAATTCCTGCTCGATAAGCCTCACGATCTAGGGGTTCTCTTTTATACCGTTGGACCTCTCTCTCTCTAGATCCATAAGATTATGGAATGGATGATTCCTACGATAACACCCAAGCAGGTACTGCATCGACAACATCCTGTTGTGACGATGTACGGGTAAGACCATTGCCTCCTCATGTAAATGGTCCACTGGCGTCATAAGGAGGCACCCTGTCGCAGTTCTCAGGGCGGCATTCTGGCAGGTTTGTATGTTCTTCCACATTCGCATACCACACAGGCGCCGCATAGCTTTGTAAGAGGTCAACAAGGTCTCTTTATCAGCCCCCAAGAGCTGCCGGCAAGCGACTTGAGGACCTTGTTCCTACTTCTCATCTTATCGCAAATAGCGGTGGCTTGTGCGGACGACTTAAATAAGCTATCGAACGTTACTCCAAAAATTTTTGGGTAGTTAGTGGTCGGAATTATTGCACCATCGACCATGATGTTCAGAGGGAGCATCATTTCAGCCGTCCATGTAGTGAACAGAGTGGCTGTGGATTTAGCGGCGGATTTGTTTTGTTGCCATTTTAAAGGTAACTTCATAATGTCTCTCTCATAAAAGTCCTGCTCTCTATTTGCAAAAAATTCTAGTAGTCGATTATTACAATTCTACTTAGATACTAATTCTTTATCATTAAAGAAATTTTGCAATGCAAGAAAAATATGAAAATCGCTTGATGCCAAGTCCGGACTGTATGGCTGATGCATTAAAACTTCCCAACCAAACTACCAAAGTTTCTGGCGAGTCACTGTAGATGTGTGTAAGAAATGGGTCTATCTGATTCCGTTTGGCCAAGCTTCCAGATGCAAATACAATCCATCCTTTTTTCTTTTAATTGGTGTGGCACCCAAACATCGAACTTCTTTCTGAATCCAGCTTTGTGTAAATGGTTTAAAACTGTTTTATGGTCGATTTATAGCTCCTGGGCGAGATGTTACGACTGCTAACATGCCGGTAAACTGCGATCATTTCTCCGATGTTATCGATATTTTCGACGGCCGACCTAATAGATTTCTTTTTCCCCAACCTAATATTTAGTAACCCGTTACCACACTAGAGGGTGGAAATATTGCGCTGATTGCTTTGTATATTTTAATGAACTTGCAGTTATGGTCAAGAACAACGCCTATAATTTTCGGTGATTTTGGGATGAAACTGACCAAAGACTTATTTTTTGTGTTTGAGTCGATCTATAGACCACAATTAATAACCGAATCTTAAGGGAAGGGTTGTACTGAAAAAAGAAAGGTTGTACTAAAGAAAAGGTGCTGTTGACCTCTAATCGGGCAAGAGGGTGCAAATATCTTGAAATATTGCCCAGGCTCAAAACAGGCTCGAAACATCCGCAGAAAGTTAAAATTCCGTGGTATTTGTGTGGGGTACCGTATGGTCGGCCCCGTCCGACTCCTTGAATGTTTATGCACATAGTTTATGACCAAATCTTTTTCAGACAGAGTCAAATTACATATGTCCGTCCGTCTGTCTGGTACACACGATAACGCTCGAAGAGAGTAAGCGATTTCATTTAAACACTGCACACTGTAATAGTTCGTCAAAAATTAATTCATGTTCGAAGATCTATAAGTATAAATATTTTGAACATTTGTAAATCCAATATTTTGGATATCTGAATTGATCCATTAAGCGAAAGGAATATCAATTCCAAACCAAATACATGCGCTACAAAAAATTGATTGATCACAATAAAAAGTACAAAAAAACAAATATGGACAATTTTTTGTCGGTTTTTAAATCTTCCAAAAAATAGTTTTCAAACCGCCGAAATTGTTCATACTCATTACCCACTATGTGTTTGTAATGGAGAATGAGATGGCCCACAATAAATACATTTTTGTTAGATCCTCTTGGGTAAATATTAAATATTGTTAAATATTCACAAGAATGTATTTTCCGCGTTATGCAATAAGATTTAATTTGTTGTTATCCTCATTTAAAATTTAAAACGTACGTTACTTTTTCCAGCATATTCATCTACCAACAATTGGCAACAAAAGCAAGCTGAATAAACACAAATAACCACAAGTTAGAACAAGAATAGAAGAAAGTAATTTTTGCGGCAAAACATTGTGTTGGTCATATTTGCGACCATCTGCTCTTCAATATCGCTAAAAGTAAATCCCCACTTAAGCTTCATATATACCCCGAACTAAAAACCGCACATTTTACAAAACAGATGACTATAAAAGCTGAACTCAATAGCAAAACCTTCATCAGTTTGTAGACAAACCGTATTGAAACAAAGCTTTGCTCTCCCACAATATCGAACATCGAATTATTAAAAAGAAATCAAAATGAATTTCAATAAATTGTTCGTTTTTGTTGCCTTGGTTTTAGCCGTTTTCATCGGACAAAGTGAGGCTGGTTGGCTGAAGAAAGTTGGCAAGAAAATTGTAAGTAATATTATTTTGTGTATGAATATTTCCTTTTTTATTTCATTTTGTTGTTGTTTTTTCTCAGGAACGTGTTGGTCAACATACCCGTGATGCTACAATTCAAACTATTGGTGTGGCCCAACAGGCAGCCAATGTTGCCGCAACATTAAAAGGCTAATAAGTTTAACATTTATTTTTATAATATGAATTAGAACTAAAAAAAGACTTGAATACAATAAATTATTTATTTTCTCATTAAATTTAGTAAAAAAGTTATTTATTTTAATAAAAATTAGGAATGGGAAAAGATTATAAACAAAAATGTTATGTTTAATTTATTAAACGGATTGATATAGAATTTGAAATTTGAATGTACATCTGATGGGGATTCGAACTACAAATAACTCAAAATATTAAATAATATTCAATCGGTAAAACTAAAACAGCTTAGAACACAATTGAATTTTTAATAATTATGTTTTAAATATTTGTTAACGATATAACCGCGGGTGCAACATGTCATGAACAAACATAATAATATTGATAACAAGTAAAAAAGTGTCAGTCGGTGTTGCCGACAGATATATACCTCCAGCGTATGGTTTGTGGAGGTCTTGGGAATTACACACAGATTTTATTATCAGCTTTATAGAAGAAATATATTTTTATCAAAGAAGTTTCGGATTTAATGTTTAAAAAATTTTTATATAATATTGACCATTTGTGATGGCGGTAACGGAAGGAGTGGATTACTAGGTTCCATCTTCGGAATATATATAAGGTTGGTTGAAATATGACATTCAATTCGCCTGATTTTGCATTGATAAATATTGAAAATTTTAAACATTCGTGTGAAATTTACCAGAGGGAGTGGACCAATGGGTCCTATCTTTGGACTTAATCCAGACTTCGTAAAGAAAATGGCTTGTGCAAAGTTTGGTTCATATCGGACATTCTACTCGCCTGATATTGAATTTACCAATATTGGAAATTTTGACCATTTGTGGGGGAGGTACAAAAAGGAGTGGACTAATAGTTCCCATCTTCGGACTTGATCTAGGGTTGGTAAAGATAATAGGTTGTGCAAGGTTTGGTTCAAAGCTGACATTCCATTCGCCTGATATTGCATTTATAAATATTGACAATTTTGACCATTTGTGGGAAAGGTACCAGAAGGAGAGGATCAATGGGTCCCATTTTCAATCTTGATCTATTCTTGCTAAATATAATAGGTTGTGCAAGGTTTGGTTCAAATCAGACATTCCATTCGCCTGATATTGGACTTACAAATATTGAAAATGTTGACTTTTTTGGGGAGATACTAGAAGGAGTGGACCAATGGGTCCCCTCTACCTACTTGATCTAGGCTTGGTAAAAATAATAGGTTGTACAGTTTCGTTAAAATCGGATAGTCCGTCCGCATGATATTAAACTGAGTTTGGAAGAAATATTAAGATGTGCAAAGTTTGCATGAAATCGATTATTCCCTTCGAGAGTTATCATGCGAACCAGCCAGCCAGACCGACGGACAACGGACAGACATTTGTAAATCGACTCCAAATATTCTGAAACGAATATTATATACGCTTCGCCTAGTCCTTCAAAAGAACTATTTAAAAATCATTGCTTTTTCTAATCTTTCAAAAAGTTATTATATAGGCCTTTAAAAATTATTTTTTTTATAGTCCGTCATTTAAAAAGTCCACGCTTCTTCTATTCTTTCATAAACATATTTGAAAAATGCCACCCTTCTTATAGTCCTCAACAATATATGTGCATTGTTATGTGACTATTTCGAGTAGTTTCAAACGGAATGAAAAAACTAATATACTGTGGAGTGCCGATATATGTGAGCTGCCCCAAAACGTGGACCAATATGCATGGTCCACGTTTTATTTTATTTAGGATGGACAATGGTATCTCAATCGGTCGGTAAACGGTTCAAAACCCTTAAAATACCCCCAAAAAGTGGACACTTTTATATGACTATTTTCTGCATTAACACGTCTAGGGTTTCCTAAATGTAATACACTATGCATCCATATCCACTGCTCCTTAGAGAACAATAAAATAAACCCCTTAAATAGGACGATAATTATGCAATTATGTGCAGTTCAAAAGTGTCCTATAAATCTAGTTTGGTATGTGTTAACTATATTTAACAAAACCATAACACGGCATATCTCAATTTTTATATAAATAAACTTTTTATTTAAATAAATTACTTAAAAATGCATTTAAATCTACTTATACTAGCATGTTTCTTATATAACTAGAAAATGTTTCATTTGCCCTTTAATGTTGCAGCTACATTTGCTGCCTGCTGGGCAATGCCAATAGTTTGAATGGTAGCATCACGGGTATGTTGTCCAACACGTTCCTATAATAAATATATATATATATATAAACAATTAATAAAATATATTTTTAAATTTAAGAAAAATTATACTTACAATTTTCTTGCCAATCTTTTTCAACCATCCTGCTTCACTCTGACCAACAAAGACAGCCAAAACAAAGTCAACAAAGACAAATAATTTAGTAAAGTTCATTTTGATTTGTTTTTATTAAAAGAGCGTGTTTGTGTTGTGTAAAATGTTTTTGTTCTTAAGCTTTAATCTGCTTTAAGTTCAATAAGAAACTGATGACTTTCTTCGCCGCAACCTAAGCTTTTATAGTGAATATTTTTTTTGGTTGCATGTACGACAAATGACACATCATGGTTTTCAGATGTGTTTTTGTTGAATAAGGAACACACCAAGTGTTGCGGGGAATCACATTATCACAACTGCTGGGGAATACGTATTTTACTCACCAAGATTTTTTGTTTAGTTTTTTTTTTTTTTATTTTGAATGTGTATACAGCCTGTTTTTCATTTAAGCAACAAATGCTTAGCCTTGACCATGATAATTTTGTGTAGATAATTTCTTGTAAATGAAAAAAGAAATGGGAATTCCCTTGTCAAAGAGAGAGTATTTCAGTTCAAGCTAATTTTTGTTTAGCTAAACGATTGTGATATTCAATTAGGATTTAAACTATCAATATATATTGAAAAAAAAAAAACATTTGGATTTTTCTTTTACAATATTTCAAAAAATTGAACCATCTTTAAAAAAGAAGTTCATAAAATCATGCAATTGAATTATTACCGTAATTTTAAGTACTTATATAGATTTCAACCTAATATATGACAAATGACAGTCAATTGGGTCAAGTCTTATTCCGTACATAGACCAATAAAATCTATTTTTCATTCCAAAATCTTAATTTCATATTATTTGAACAAAAAATCGTAATGGAACATAAAACAGCCGGAATAATAAGGTAAGAAGTAAGTCCTTAATGAGTTTTGATACAGTTTTTGAAAATAAATTTCAACAATGTGAGTTATAGCAAGTAAATAAGTGTTAGTCTGTGTTGACTCTTATTTACTTATATACAGTGGTGGTCAAAACATTTGCAACTGAAACTGATTATGTGGAAATATGTAATAATTTCTTTATTTGAATTTAAAAAATGGTCAACATGATATTTTTTTAACGCTTTAGGACCAATTGAAAATGTAGTTGTAATTTTTCCCAGAAATTTATAATATTTTCCTGTAAAATTTATTGATAAAATGGATAACTCGATTTAAGCTGGGCCAAAACATGTACAACTCTGACGAATTAAAAAAATATCGTTATTTTAGGTGTTATAGTTTATTTTTTCGCAATGCTTTAGTATTTTTGAGTGTTAAGAGGTAATTTTAATAAATAATTAATAAAAAAATTATAATATACGGTCACTGACAACAAAATAGAAATGACAAACGATAAATTCAGGTTGGGGTTAAATTCAGGTTGGGCAAAAAGAAAAAATGGACCGATGGGTCCCATCTTCGGATTTGATCTAGGCTTGGTAAAAATATTTACACACTTTTTGTGGGAGGTACTAAGAGTGAACCAACGGGTTCCAAGCCTATGGTAATGAAAATAGATTGTACAAAGTTAATATTAATTTTCAGCGAAATTGTGACCATTTTGTGGGTGAGGTACCAGAAAGAGGGGACCGATATTCCCCATCTTCGAACAACTAAAATTGGATGATATTCAAACGTGCGCTCCAGCCGGCCAGACAGACGGACATTCGTAAATTGTCTGAAAAGGATTTGGTTCAATGAAACGTGAGATCCAACACCAATATTTTGATGAGGCACATTTTTGGCTTAACAAACTGAGGCTTAAAATATCCCTTAAAGTTACAGCGTTATTTTCAAATTCGGACAGAATTTTATTACAATTTGAAATTTAATCTATATAGATATAAGACTTTCTCCAATGGACGGGCGTAATATTGGACTATGAGAATCTAATTTTTTTTCTAAGGAGCAGGCTCGCATTTAAGGCTGTCTTCTATGAACAGGAGGAAAAATGGGCTACATGAACAATAGCCAGCCTTCCGTTTTGGGGTTTTAAGAATTACTCTCATGTATAGAACAATACAATCTGAACCAAAAAAATATAAAAATTACATTGTAATCAGCATCAAATGACTGGTTGTAATAAAAAATTGTTAAACGTTTCTGAGTGGTAGTCTTGAAGGTATTTAATAAAAAATGGGGTATTTCCCTGAGGTACGGGGTTCCACATACCTAGGAAGTATTGATTTCATGTACAAATTCAAAAAAGACGTAAAACTCCGTTCTACAGAGGAATCCCAGAGCCACTTGTCAAAAATATTTGCAAAATATCAATAAATTAAAAAAATTTCAATTGTAGAAAATTTGTAAAATATGAATAACAATTATTTTTTTCCGAATTGAAATCGTATTTAGTAATTTTATGAAATTGTAAAATAATACATACCTTACTTCGTGATATCCTAAATGGTTACCATAATTATAGTGCCTCCGCGCCAAGACAACTTTTATGAACAATTTAGTCAGAAGTTTTAGTATTTAAGGTTATCTTTTCACTTTTATATTCGCAAAAAAAGTTTCTCAAAATGTCCACATTTACACACATACCGAAATCACTGTTACACATGCACACATTTGTCCGTTTTTATCACTAATACTATTTTTAATAACTTTAATGGAATTTAATAAACTTTTAGCCGATTTTCAACGAAATGATTTTGTGAAATTGCGTCCATTTAAATTTGTTTCTGATTGGCAGAATTTTCAATGAATACAACTCTCGTACTGAGTAGGCAACTCGTCCGTTGAGCAACAGGGTTGTATTTAGTAGCGTATACATTTTGTTGACTGTCTAAATGGTGACGTATGACGTGTAGCGTATATAAGACATAAAAATTGAAATGATTTACAAATAATTGTGTTTACGTGCAATTTTATTTTCAAAAATGAATAGAAAATAATTAATATAATTTAGTTAGGATTGCCACAAACTAAATACATTTTTAGGGGAAAAAATAAAAAATAGAATTAATATGAAATACATTTGATAAATCAATTAGTATCAATTCTGTTCCAGTGCCGTTTTAATTGTATTGATTTTTTAAGCGGACCCCCCCCCCCATTCTCGCGGTCAAAATTTTTGTTGATATAATTCGAATCTACACTGATTAAAGAATGTCTCTACAAAATTTCAAGTGAAAATCTCAAGAACTCTTGAAGATATAGCCGATTTATTGTGTCAGCATCAAGTGACGGCTGAAGGGCTTCTCAAACTTTAAACGCGTTTTTCTCTAAACATTTTTTTGCGAATGGCGGGCACGATAACTCAAAAACTAATAATCCAATCGGTTCCAAATTTTGCAACGTTTCTCTGGGAGTGTATAGCTCTCTTATGAACTAGGATAAAGCCAATCGGTGAAGATCTTCCTTATTTTTTAACAAAACAATAACAAAATTTTTTTGTAAATTATTTTTCTTCTCTTTTAAATCTTCAAATATATATGTGCAAAATTACAAACCTTAACAAGCATTGGTATTGATTTACCAGCCCATTGAAAATCTTGAAAAATTAAAATCGAGAATGGGTGGAGTTCCCTTAAAGGAAAATTTCAAAATTGCTCCCAGTTTTTTTTTTTTTTAAATTCCTGGTTAGTCCGCTTTTCCACAGGCAGATTTTCTTTGCCAAATTTGCAAATCAAAATAGAAAAGAAAGAAAAAAAACGTCAAAAGTGTTTGCATTTTAAAGATTTTTTTAATATTTTATTAATTTTTTATATATTTTATTATATAAATTGCAAAAATTTAAAATTAAATTTCACTTGCACAAATTAAAGCAACAGGTTTGTAAACAAAAGCCGGCTGTGTGTCAGTAAAGCGAATAAGTTCAAAAGGAAATGTCAACAAAATTGTTTTCGACGAACAGAGCAAAGCAGAATTTGCGTGTACGGCAAATTCTGAACAGGCAAATTTTTGTTTTTCTTCCTCGCACCCCTCTCGCCTACAAACTCAGTATTTGCCAAATAAATATTTGCCTGTGGAAAAGCGGACTTACCATTTTTACCATGGTATAATAATAGAAGATAACAGCAAGTGTTGTTGTACAAAAAACGATACAACAACCACATGAAAATTTGTTTTTGTAAGTTCTACTAGTGTCAACGCATTTGACAGAAAAATGTAAATAAACAAACAAATTATCATCAAATTATTATTTTTTTGAAAATGAAATATTTTCGAATCCTCAAAATAAAAATTGAAAAACATGAATGAAAATCTATCAAATTTATATTTCTATCTATTCCACATCTTTCCTATAATTGAGCCATTGCCATATATATGTGTAACACATATGAAAATGCTGGGAATAGCGAGTTATTCCTTGAAGAAAGATTTGCTTCCTCAAACTTTCCCAGCAGGCAGATTGAGTAAATTGAACACAGGAGCACATTTAATAAAGAACAATTTTAAATTGTATGCGTTTATTTGTCAAATTCATATTGACACTAGTATAACGTTGGAATCAAATCAGCTGGGATTTGCTGTTACCTTTTATAATTGTACCATGCATTTTTACTTTCAGGTTTTAAAAACAGAACATTATTTTTTTTCTTTGTAAAACCAATTTTATAATTAATTCCTTTGAATGATTTGGGTGAAAAATAGTTTTTTAAGGGAAAAGGAATTGATGGACAGGTTTTCTGATTTTCTTTGTAAAAATCAAGGTCTACATAATCGATCATCCAGTAAGGCCAGCTGCTATCTAAATTTTTTGTCACAATATTTGATTTCTAATAAAAAATAATCCAAAAACAAATGTGTAAAAATGCATGGCAATTATATCAAATACATAGTGTGAAAAATAAGTAAATGGTCGTTCGCGTGGGAAATATATATATAAAATAAACGAAATATTCTAAAAGACATTTTCGTCACAACAGGTCTGGATGACCTGATATTTGGACCATGGTAAAAATCAAATATAATTAACCTTAACTTTGTAGGTGGGGGTAAACTTTATCCATTCGCTCACATATTTCACGAAGTCTAAATCTAGTAGATTCTTGCAGTACGGTAACGGGAATTGAAGTATGTGTATTGATTTGAGATTATTTTTGGTCTGTTCCCGCACTGTAAGCACCTTCTATTTTTTACTATTCGATATCATATAGGAAAATCTGTTATAGTAGTAAAAAGTAGTAGATTCTTGCAGAACGGAACAGACCATTAATTATTATTAAAAAACAAGCAATGCAAAATTATATAGAAAAAAGTAAAGTAAAAAAAAATACCCACAAATTGGAATAAAATCAAAAATTACCTTATCTTGACGCCATAATAATCCGACAAGGCCAAATACTAACAATAGATTGGTACCAAAAGCACACCGCATCGTGACGATTAATTAACTTTTACTCTAAGCCTCTGAAAAGAATAAAAATAAATACGGCCTCAAATTTCATCAACATAGTACTTAATATAAGCGACGAACAATTCCACCAAAAGAACAAAGTAAGGATACGCAATATACTGAGGAAAAATGATTTCCCACAGAGAACTATTGTCGAACTACTAACAACATCCAAGCACAAGAAGGAAAATAAGAAAGAAGAGGAAAATTCATACAAAACATTGACTTATATACCTGGACGGTCTGAGGGATTACGTAATACAATTATTATCAATTAGCCTTAAAATCTAAGAATACCGTCAATAGCCTGTTCAGCAAGACAAAATCGAAAAGGAAGACAAGTGCAATGTAGTATATAAGATAAAATGTAATGGGGACAAATCCAACGTATGCCAAAATGTATATGTTGGTACAACATAAACTAAACTTAAGACGAGGCATTCTTTTTAGTCGAATGAAATTCAGAAATGGACACTAAATGTTTACTATTTAATTGAGATCTAAATGTCAATCAGCTTTCATTTTAAATTTGCACCAAAAATATTTGTTTGCAAATTGAAATTGAAAAAGGAAAAGTATAACAATAGAAATGTTTCTGCAATATTTGGATTGTTTGGAAAAGACAATATTTCCGCCATGGTACCATCTGATTACAATTTTTTCTCAAGGTGGCTTGTTCTATCAAATCAAAATACATATTTTGTGTATGTATTGTGTCAAATTAAATTAAAATTGAATTAAAATAAAAAAGACTTTTATCGTGTCGGTTTGGAAGTAACTACTTTGTTAGAATCAAACAAACATTTTATGTTATTCCTTACTAGATTTTGGGAAAAAACTTGCAAACTGTAATAAATTCATATGACAATCAAACTAAATATTTATTATTAAAAGAACATTACGAAACTCCGTTAACTAAATCTGGAACAATGTAAACGTACTATTACAACTTATATTTATAGATTATAGAGGCAGGAACTTTAATATAATCAACTATATTAAGAATTTGGTCATTTTTACCACTGAACACATGTTAAAATTTAAAAGCAAAAATTTGCAAAAGTAAAGGTTGATAAAATTTGAATTATAGTACGTTTACATTTAACCGGATTTCGTTAACCCAGTGGGTATAAATTGTCAATTCCTTTGCTTATATGCCAAATACATCTTCATTAAGTTTTAATGTATATGCCGTTTTATGTGTCTTCATGAAACTACCTTGTTTAATTATGCCATGTTCTACTACATATTTGATAATGAAAATGTTTCCTTTGCCGATAAGATATCTCTGCTTTCGAGTAACATGTGTAATATTCGAATCTATAATACCATATTCTTTTATAATTAAATAAAATAATTTAATTATTTTATGTTTGTTTCATTAAATCCACACACAAAATACTCCTGACGCCTAAAAGTATGCTCTGTATTTTTCACACAATACACTAGGAAACTAACGAGTAAAATACACCCCTGTTGACAACTGCAACCAACTTCAGGTCGTTGTTTGACACTAGCAACGAGTAATTTAAAGGAAATTACTGTTCAGTGGTTCTCTTTTACTTCCTTTTCTGTCAAAATAATTGACTAAGGTTGGTGTATTTTTTGATTGTCTCACAAATAAATACGAAAATATTCATGAAATTTGTAAATGAATTGTGAAAATGTGTATGAAAATTGAAAACTAAATGAACAATCTATGAATATGTGAATAAATGAAGAAAATGCTTTGTGAAATTGCAGAGATGCTGTAAGATTTGAAAGTGTAGTGTCAGTCAAACCAAGAATGAAAGAAACAAAAATGAAATGAACTTGAAAAAGCCGTATAGAGGCTGTAGAGAAAAATATGAAGGGACATTGTGTTGTGAAGTGAAAAGTTCTTTAAATTGTTAATATAAAAGTTGTGTCTATAAAAAATACTAATCGATTGTTTGTTTTCATTGTTCCCCCACAGATGATTGGCTCCAAGATTATCAAGCCCGGTGGCGCTGAGCCCGATGATTTTGAGAAATCCATTGCCCAAGCTCTCGTTGAGCTCGAGGCCAACAGTGAACTCAAGCCCTACTTGAGGGACTTGCACATCACACGTGCCCGTGAAATTGAATTCGGCAACAAGAAGGTAAGTGGTCATCATATATTTTCCTCGTCCTTTGATTAATTTACAATTACCATTGTTGTTGTTTTTTGTTTATAGGCTGTCATCATCTATGTTCCCATTCCCCAACAAAAAGTTTTCCAAAAGATCCAAATTCTTTTGGTACGTGAATTGGAGAAGAAATTCTCTGGCAAGCACGTCGTTGTCGTTGGCGAACGTAAAATTTTGCCCAAGCCCACCCGTAAGGCTAGAAATCCATTGAAGCAAAAGCGTCCACGTTCCCGCACTTTGACCGCTGTCTACGATGCCATCTTGGAAGATTTGGTCTTCCCCGCTGAAATCGTTGGCAAGCGTATCCGCGTCAAGTTGGATGGCTCTCAATTGATTAAGGTGCATTTGGACAAGAATCAACAAACCACCATTGAACACAAAGTAAGTAGCAATGGAAAATTAATGAATTAGATGAAGTGAATTATTAGTGAAGTGGAGGATATTGAAGATGGTGGTATTGATGAGAGATGTGTAGAAAATGTTGTATGTAGTTTCAAAATTGTGTATTGATGTGATGAAAATTTAAATATTTTTTCATTGTAGTGTTTATGAATTCAGAGCTGATGTCTTTGACCTCTATATTATTCATTAGCAACAACAATAACAATGAGTAATGTTTAAAAGCAAATATTTTCCAACATCGGAAAAAATATGGAACGTTTTGGAATTCATCATTAACCCTAAACGTTCCAGTTCTGTGTAAGAGGTCTTGATAAACTCCAGTAGTAGTCCGTAATTTATGTCTTTGGCATATATTATTAATTGATAACAACATCAATAATTAGTAATGTTTAAAAATACAATTTCCTTATGACATATGGAATAAAATGTTCCGGTGGTTCGATCTCCATCCGTTTAAGACTTTGTGATTAAGCCGAAATGATAAAAGGGTGTTGTAATATTCAAATATTTACTTTGATTTACATACCTTTTTATGCGAAATGATAACGAGATAATATGAAGGTTACCTGTAATGGAAGAAATTATTGATTAATTTAAAAAAATACTGGTCGAAAATATTAATTATTTTCAAAAAATACTGCACTAATTATTTTCAAAAAATACTGAAGCGAACCAATAATTTTTTGAAATCACGATATATCTTGAAATATTGAAGATAGAGTATAGCCACCATACAACGTAATACCCCAATATTCGGTTTTTATACCTTCAGCCTAATGGTTAATGAGGTTTGATACGGCAAAAATGTGCCTCATCGAAAGATTAGTTTTAGACCCCATGTTAATTCGGACCAAATCTGTTACAGACAATTTGATTCTATTTAAAAATGTCCGTCCTCTGGCACACGATTATTCTCGAAGGGAACCGATTGCATTCAAAATTTACACATCGTAATATTTATTCCGAACATAGATCAAGTTCGAAAATGGAGGATAGCGGTTCATACCACCTGTGGTACCATTCCCACAAAATAGCCAAAATTTTGCTGAAAATAAATATCAAGGGAATGGTCTATCCGATTTGAAGAAACCTTTGCACAACATAATATTTCAACCACTACTGCTGTATATGTTGAAATATGGGATTTATCGGTCCACTCCTTCTTGTACCTCTCCCACAGAGGGTAAATATTTTTTGCCGAACATAATATTTTTAAATTATTTAGAAGTCTGAAGATGCGGCCCATGGGTTTATTTGTTCTAGTACCTCCTCCGCACACTGTCAAAACTTTGAAAAATTGTTTATTCAATATCAAAAGATATTGTAATACTTTCACCAAACCTAAATCGAATCCGAAGATGGAATCCATCGGCCCAATTCTTCTGGTACCTCACCTACAAAGGGTAAAATTCTTAAAAAATCTTAATCGAATATCAAGCAAATGGAATGTCAACATTTTTAAATTTTGATACCAAATTCATTTCTTAATTTGATACCAAACGAATGGAATGACTGATTTGATTCAAAATTTGCAAATGGTATCGTTTTTACCAAATCAAGATTAACTTCGAAGATGGGACACATCTATTCACTTCTTCTGGTACCTCCCCCACAAACGGTCAAACATATATGTCTATATAGCAAAAAGCTCTTCTGCTACCTCTCCACAGATGGTCAACTATTTGATAAAAAATTCATTAACCTTATATAAAGCGAATAATAAAAGCAGAATGTATTTCCATTGACCTCCACAAACCATAAGGCTGGGGTGGGTATACATCTGTTGGCAACACCAACTGATACTTTGTTCCATTTTTGTGAAATTTGGAATTTTCAGCCGAATTCTTGTTTATAATTTGGCATTTTGGGTTATAATTAGGTAGAAAATCTCTTTACCAAAAATTATAAATTTTGGTCCAAGTTGTCGGACAGTCTTCATATAACGGTACACTCAAGTGTTCGGTATGTTGTGAATATTGCCCACGATTTTTAAACGAATTGGTTCTAATTTGATATTTCGGATTATTAGTGACAGTCAAATCTTACTAACAAATGTTATGAATATCGTTCCATTTACCGGTACCGAAAATTTCGGCATTTTAGACATCAATTTGACATTTCGCAACTTTGGTTAAAAAAATCTTCGTAAAAATTTTTCAATTTAAGTTTTTTTTTTCTACGTAGATGTTCGGTATGTTAAAGGTCCTAACCCATTTTTTCAACAATGAGAGTCTTTAGTAGTTTGGTATTTAGATTTATTCACGCTGCAATATACCACGAAAAAGAAATCATAAGAAACTCTCATTCGATTTAGTTTTATGTCCACCTCTTGGTTGATGGTAAAAGCAATTCGACCCAACGCAACATAACGAAGTTTTTACTTGGTTCTTACTTCCGAAAGTATGAAAATCTCATTGCAAAATATAAATTTATAGGAAGATACTTCTCAAAAATATGTACATACTTCAATACCCTAGCCGTACTATATGCAGCAAAATTATCAAAATGATTCATGCATCACATCAAACACTGCGGTTAAGATTTAATGTTAGTTTTTATAATAACAAAAATCGAAATATGTCCTATCCCAATTTAGAATAGACACAGTCAAATTGTTCATATTATTTACAAAAATACTCCTCCAACAATATCCTTCAATACCATCTTTAAGTTCAATCCATGCAATTTAATTTAGTAATTAACTTATAAATAAGCTATTTTTATTTTAAGAAAATCCCAATGTCCTTGTGTTATTTGCTGATTGTTATTAAACCAAGATCAGTGATTGTCAAAAAGGACAAATAGTAAATTTAACCAATGACTCGTTATTGTTTGAAATGGTCCAATACAAAGGCCTTTAAACATCTCCATACATTGGTGACATTTTCCTCCTCTCTAATTAATAATGGTAAAACAGCAACAACAACGAAAAAGGAATAAGAAACAATTTCAAAACTTTTCGTCCTTGTGTTAATTGCTGAATTATGACCACCAGTCACAGTGATCGTCAAAAAGGACACACATTAACAACGAACAAATATCTTTCTTTTTTACAAAAATTTTGTGATTAAAATAACTATTACAAAAATCGAAAGGTATTTGTATAAAAAAATTCAAATTTTGGTTTCTTATTCCTTCAAGTTTATAGCGTTCTTGTGTTATTTATTGATTGCTTCATCAAATCAATAATTGTCAAAAAGAACGCAAATTAATTTTGGGACAACAACTCGTTATTGTTTATACGAATTATAAAAGTATCAACATATTCCATTTGTTGTCTACAATAGCTTAAGACATTTTCGGTATCCAAATCCAAGCAGGCCGTCTATTTGCCTCTCATACGTAATGTTTTCGGCGTTATGAGACTTCCTACAAAACGGCAGATTAAATGAAATTTTTAAATCAGCTAATATTTTCTTTGATTTGCAACAAAGAAAATTTTAATTTTTAAATTTTACAAATCAACGAACTATTTTTGTTTTTATTGTATTTCTAATACCGTTTATTTGCCTCCCGCATGGTGATCTATTTGAAGCTCTATGGGACTTCCTACAAAACGGCAGATTAAACGAATTTTTAAAATTTCCTAATATTTTTATTGTCAAATCCGCAATATTGATTTTAATTTTAGAAATTTACAATTGTACTTATTTTTAATTATTAGAATAGATAGATAGAATAGATAATAAATTTTTAAAATTAGAATTTATTTATATCAGTTTCATTTGAATTCGTTACTAATTTTGTTCCTACTCTTTTTTTCTTCCAGGTTGACACCTTCACCTCGGTCTACAAGAAACTTACCGGCCGTGATGTCACCTTCGAATTCCCCGACAACTATTTGACCATGTAAATTGTCAATAAATTATTTTTTATAGTCCAAACAAAAATACCTGTTGTTACACGTGTGTCACTTGAAACCAACAAAGAAAATGGGGCTAGACTACAGAAGGAAGCTAATGTTTTGTGAAGAATTCTGAAATTCAGAAGCTTTTTCACAAACTGAAAGAGACCACAAAATATTACAAAAAAATAAAGAAAAAACATTTTTACAAAAACAATTGTAAAACAAAAAAATCAAATTGGTTTTATTGGAAATTTACTAAAAAATATATAGAAGAGCTTAGCGATAAGTGAGAGACTGACAGATCGTCGCCCAGACGAAAAGACTGAAGCTAGAAGCTTGAAATTTTGAGTGTGGCTTGTTATTGGTGTGTAGGCGTGAGATAAGGCTGGGGTTTTTGGAAATTCGAAATTTAGTACTAAATATGGCACCCTTTGTATTAGGCAAACGGGAAGAGCTGGAATTCTGAAATGTGGGTCACTAATGGAAACTTAGAAAGATGAACAAAAGGGTTTTTGGAAATTCGACCTATTAGGGTACGAAAACATCTTGAAATTTTATATGGAATACAGGTTGGGAAGTGGTGTTTATGTATGGAAATGGTTTAAGAAATTCGTACTTATGTTTATAAAAAGTACAAAATGGTACTATTTGCATATAGTTGAGTGTATACTACTACTACTGTTGGAGTACAGGATTGAGGTAGCTTTAAAATTTGTACTTATATATACGAAAAGTACTAAATGGCACTAAATTTTGTGCAAGTTGGATTCAGGTGAATATATAGAGCTGGAGTTTTTAAATTGGGAATTAAATTGACTTTGGAGAGTTGTATTGAGGTAGTTTAAGAAATTCGTACTTATTGATACAAAAAGTACTATGGTACTAAATTTAGTACAATATCGATTTTAGGAGAACGGGTAGAGCTGAAAATCTGAAATTTGGAATTAAGATTATTGTTGAAGATTGAGGTATAGAAACATCATTGGAAATTCGTAGAGACATCATTGTTGGAATGTAGAATTGAGATATGGAAGCATAGTACTTATGTGTACAAAATGGTACTATATTTGGTACAACTTGATTATTTGTGAACGGATAGAACTGGATTCCAGAATTTTGGAATTAAAATTTATGTTGGAGTGTAGGATTGATATAGTTCAGGAAATTCTTAATTATAGAAACAAAAAGTATTAAATGGTACCAAATAGTTTACAAATTGTTTTCGTGTGAACGTATAGGGCTGAGATTCTGAAAATTTGACTTACTATTACAGTTGGAGTGCAGGATTGAGATATTTCGGTAGTTTTGAAAATTCGTCATTATGTGTACTTAGTGGTACAAAATTTGATACAATTTAGATTTGAGTGAACGGATAGAGACGGAAAACCTAAATTTGGAAAGAAAATTACAGAATTTGGGTAGTATTGGAATTTTGTACTTATGGATACGAGAAACACTAAATGGTACAATTCGTTTTATGTGATCAGGAATCCTAGGAGTGTAGGATGAGACATGGAGATAATTTTGAAATATGTGTACTAAATGGTATTAAGTTTTGGTACAATTTAGATTTGAGTGAAAAGATAGAGATGGAAAACTTATATTTGAAAATAAAATTACTGTTATAGCACAGGATTTAGACAATGTTGGTAAATCGAACTCATAAGTAAGAAAAGTACTAAATAAGGTTCAATTTGGATGTATGTGAACGGATAGGACTGGGATCCTAAAATTTATAATTGAAATTACAGTTGCAGTGTGGAATTGGATATGGATGTTGGTGAACGGATATAGCTGGAATGCTTAAATGTGTACTTAAGATTATTATTGGAGTGCATGACTGAGGTAGTTTTAGAAATTCGTACTTATGGGTACGAACAGTACAAAAATTTAGTACTATTTGGACTATGGTGAACGGGTAGAACTCGAATACTGAAAGTTGCAACTTCGGTCACTGTGGGAGTGTAGGAAATGTACAGAATGGTACCAAATCTGGTATAATTTGGGTTTTAATGAACAGACAGAGCTGGAATTCTTAAATTTGGACTTATGATTACTGTTTGAAAGCAGGATAGAGGTATATTTGGAAATTTGTACTTATGAGTACAAAAATTACTATTTTAGGTACAATTTGAACTTTGGTGGAATTAAGATTATTGTTAGAGTGTATGATTGATGTAGTTTTAGAAATTCTTTCATATGAGTATAAAAATTACTAAATGGTGCTAAATTTGGATTTGGTTGAATCCTGAGTTTTGGAATTTAAATGACTCTTGAAGTGTAGTATTGAGCTATGGAGACAACTTTGGAAATTCGAATTTAAGTGTACGAATAGAATAGAAAATGCATTAATTTTTGATTTGGGTAACGGAGAGAGCTGGAAACCAAAAATTTGTAATGTGGGTCACTGACGGAGAGTTAGAAGAAAGTACTAATGGGTTTTATGTACTAAATTTAGTGGTGGTGGTATGGAGGTAGTCTTGAAAATTTGTACTTATGTGTTTGAAAAGTACTAAATGGAACTTAATGTGGAACCTGTTCGTAAATATATAATTGGAATTCTGATCTATTCTAAATCTGTGTAATGGAAATAAAGAAATTTCGGAAAATAGTGCATATGTGTATGAAGAGTACAAAATGGAAAAAACGGTCCATGTTTAAGCATAGCTCATTTTCAATTGAATTCGATGACATTTTGTAATTTGGATTCTTATTGGGTACCAAATTTCCCCACTAAAAATTATTAATACAGATCCACTTTTTCTGTTAGCCCCCATATAACGGTACACCCAAATTTCATTATTTTGGGGGTGTTTAGCGTAGTTTTCGATCGAAATGGCTTTAATTTAGTACTTTGAGTTCTTATTGGGTAGCAAATTTCTTCACAAAAAATTATAAATATAGTTAAATTTTTTCGAGTTATATTGAATATAAAGTCGATTCCATAATTATTATTACCGAAATTCAAATTTATAGTGTGTCTAAATCAAAAGAAAGAAAAAAACAAAGCCTTCGAAAAAATATATAACAATTAATTTTTATTTACACTTCTAACATGTTAAATATAGTAATGTTTATGTCTGTATATCATTTTTTTAGATTTCAGGAATTTCCCGAATATTTAATTCAAAACAACTGTATTTGATTATTGTTTTTATTTTACCTCTGCGACCTTTTAGCATCGAAATAAGATTAGATGTTTTGTATGTGTATTTTTAATTTGGCCTTCATTTCAATTTTTCAACATATCACAAATAATTTATTTTTTTATTGAATCATTTTTATTTTTAACAATATTTAGCCAATGTGAATATCTGCAAAGAGAAATTTAAATATCTATTAGTAACTGATTTTAATAAAAAAAATATCACATACTTATGTGAGCATTAACATTGACATGGGGTCTAGGTTTTGGTTTTGGCTTCGGTTTTGATTTTTTCTTTGGCATTGCTGCGGCTTGATCGCTCCATAAGGCCAAGATGATAACAAAAATAAAAACAATTTGTGAAATCTGCAAGAGTTTCATGTTGCTTATTTGACGTTTTAATATAAACTGAGATTGTTAATACAAGAAGATGATAATTGCAGGGAGAATGTATATCCCCTCTAAAATGTATATTTGTATATGTGAAACCACTTTGATGATTAATGGTATTTATAAAATGATAATGGTACACTTATAAAATATGAAAACATAAGAAATATACTATATATTATCTCTTGTCAAATGAGGGACTTCGTGGAATGGACCGGAATATCGGTCAATAGGACTAATTCACTCTATGTTTTTATATTAAACTAGCATATACCCGCTACTTCGTTAGCGAATATGGGAAGTATTTAAAATCCAATACTGTCCATTATTAACACTATTTGAACAATTTAGTACCTATGTTCTCTTATAGTACGTTTTTCCAAAACTACATAGAGACATAGACATAGAGTCTCAACCCTACACACCAATTCTGACCGCAAAAGAAATCTAGCTCTATACAGAATTTGGTGTCATCTTTTACCTTTTGTACTCTTGTAAAATTTCAAAATTCCAAATATAGCTACACCCAAATCCAAATTAAGTATCAGTTAGTAAAGTTAGTAAATTTCAGAATTCCAGCTGTATTGGTTCCCACAAAATTTATATTGAACACAATTTAGTACACATTAGTACGAATGTCCAGAAATTCGAACAAAGCCCAATCCTACACCCCAACAGTGATCCTAACATCAAATTTCAAGATTCCTGCTCTATCGGTTCACCCAAATTCAAATTTGGTACCATTTAGCACATATTAGTACGAATTTCCAAAACTTTCTACATAGCTCAATCTTACATCCCCAACAAAGAATCTAACTCCAAATTTTAGGATCCCAGCTCTGTCAATTCACCCAAAATTCAAATTGTACCAAATTTAGTACAATGCAGTACCCATAAGTATGCATTTCCAAAACTACATCCATACCTCAACCCTAGACTCCAACAGTAACCTTATATGCAATTTTCAGTGTTCCAGCTCTATGGGTTCACTTAAATCCACATTTGGTACCATTTTGAACACATTAGTATAAATTTCCAAAACATTCTACATATCACCCTACACCCCAACAATGATCCTATCTCCAAATTTTAGGATTCCATCTCTATCTATTCACCCAAATCCAAATTTGGTACCACATTAGTACGAATTTTCAAAACTTCTTACATACCCCAATCCTACACCCCAACAAATTTCAGAATCCCAGCTCTATCGATTCCCACAAAATCCAAATTGAACAAAATATAGTTCCATTTAGTACTTATCGTACACATAAGTACAATTTTCCAAAACTACCTACAGATTCCAGTCCTACTTTCTGGTGGTAATGTTAATTTCAAATTTCAGGATTCCAGCTCAATCTATTCCCTCAAATAAAATTGTACCAAATTTAGTACTGTTCGTATACATGAGCACATCCTTTCAAAAACACCTTTTTATATCGTCTCTACTTCTTTGATTCACATTCCAAATTTCAAGCTTATAGCTCAATTCGTTCACATGCTACGAA